TAAACTATACTAAATTTGAGATAGGGTCCAAAGGAAAAGAAGGAAAAAAAAAGGAAAAAGATTTTCGAACAAGTTTCCATTATTGCTTTAAGTCAGTGCCTTACAATAACAATATCTGTAGACTTTTAAAAAGACAAATGTAAGTTTTCATGTTCAAAATCTTTTAATAATCACTGTTAACTCTTTACGGATAGATCACTGTTTATTATTTTGCTGTAAGTTAAACATTAGCAGTTATTTACCAGCAGTTAGTTTTTGCTTAAAATTAGATAATTTAGCTCAGTCATAACGATGATTTGTTTTTAAAAGTGTGTGCTTTGTGGTATGTATTTCTTGTCTTTTAGGGCGAAGATTAAACAGATAAAAAAGTCTAACGTGACTAAGAAAAAAGAAAATTCAGTACAAAAAAAAATGACTTCACAGAGAATTCTTGTTAAGTTTGTATAAAAAATATGTTTTGTTTAAATGGTTAAGTTTAAACAAGCTTTGTTTAAATGTTTAAGTTGTGTTGTGTTTCAATAAAGATGTTCATGGCTATTCGATTGCTGTTGATAAGGATTAGTGTTGATTAGTTTTGATTAGTTTTGATTAGTTTTTGGCATAAGCAGGTCTAGCCGTTTCGAAGATACGGGGCAAAAAGTGCCACAAACGGTAACTCAATTTTTAAAAAAGTTTTAAAAAAACATTTTACTTGTATTGACAAGATGAAGAGTTGATGAAATTTTCAAGAAGGCAGGTCTAGCGGTTTTTGAGATCTAGTAAAAAAAAGTAAAAAAAACCCATTTCGCGGTCAAAAATGATTATTAGACATAAGAACATCAAATTATCAGATATTTTATAGAGATTTTAACAATAAGTATAATTTTTTTTACATTCCTATGGGTTCCGTACCAGTGTTTTTCCGTTAGACGGCGACGCGGCGCTTACGCGCTTCGAATTTTCGTCTCTGTGCAGTTAAAGCAGTACGATTGCTTTGAAAAAAAGTTCACATTTTCCAAAATATTTCAAAATGAAAAAAACATTTTTGAAGTAAAACTTCTTTAGGCGCGACTAGGGTGTAAATCCGTACAAATGCAACGGAAGTGCGTTACGGCAGATAAGATAAGATAAAAGTCGAGTGCCAATTATTTGTCATTGGCTCTCGATGATATCGTTTCTATACGGGTCGATTGTGAGTAGTCGTCGCGTATGTGAATAGAGATCTGTCGTTGTATGCGTACCGGCCTCAACGTTGTATGCGTACCGATATCAACAAGGAAATCGGCATAGATAAATAAACATTTTAAAGTTATATCGAAGTACAAATCTTGATTCAATGAAAAATGCCTGAATCAGAAGAATATTTTATCCTGTTCCCTGTAAATAATTATAATGAAAATAATAAAACAAATGCAGCATTTGCGCCGTGTATGAAACATAAGTTTATTGAAATAATTTCTATATTATTCGTAGTTTCTATAAATCTTTGAAGTTATTGAAATAGAAAATATGTTTTAGGCAAAACGGATATTACAGCTGTTCAAAGAATGAGGTTATTACGCCAGCGAAAAAGTAAAACGTTAAAGTGTACAGAAAAATTAATAATTTTAAAAATTAGCAATTGTTGAGTGAGCGTTCCAAAAATAAATGGCACGTGACTATGCCCACGATAGCAACTCTCATAGTAATAATTATTAAGAAATTAAATTAATTATTAAGAAATGAAATTAATTATCAAGAAATGAAAAAAAAAATAAGGTAAAATGATATCGCAATGGCATATGCTAAGATTAAGTTGAATTTTTTTTTGGAAAAATGGCTTTCTGAAAAAAAGATCATTTTTCTTACCACTTTTCGGGTTTAATGATTTTTTAACAAAAAAATTGAAATTAAAATTTGGGGATGAGGCTAGGCCAGAGAGAGAAGTCTATAAAAAATATTCTCTAAAAATTGCATGTGTATCGGTTCAGTAGAACTCGAGAATTCGTGGGCGTTGTGTAATAAAAGACATTTGTGAAAAATCGCGTTTAAATTTTTGCTAAAGGAAAGAAACAGAAGAGGCTTATCATGGTCAAACAGCTGTATCTCTGAAAATAATTTGAACTTTAAAAAATTATTTTGTACACATATTCTTAAATAATTGAAATATGAAACAAGAGAAAAAACGATTAAATTTTTTAAATTTCTATACTATTCCTCCTTGAATATAAACTTATAAATTTTTCTAAATTTTGTTACTTCATTGAACAAAATATGACACAGATTGAAAGACTAATTTAAGATAAAAATTGGTGAATACTTTTTTATATATACTTTCTACTATTTTGATTTTGATATAAAAAGACCTAGAGAATTGAAACCTATAACAAAAGTCGATAATCGAATTTCTAGATGAGATTACACGTGATATGTTAGACGAAGATTCAGACAGCGCTACCGGTTGGTTATGGAACGGCGTGTGGTGCTGTTCATCCCGCGTCCGACCTAGAGACGGCACCCACCGAATAATCAGATTACAACATCACGAACGTCGCCTGCGCTCATTGATTACCTGCCCGAATTGTAGAATGCCAGTGCGAACACGAAGTAGAAACATTATTACGCCAAGGACACATATGGCAGCGGTCGCCTTTTGCGGCTTTCCTTACTTATTCAAAACTTTCAAAGATCAAAAACATTACTGCCCTTTATGTAAGGCCTTTATTGCAACGGCAGAGTTCAAGAAAATCAAGGCAATCTCATGTTTCTTACCGGAAGTTGAAGAAGATGACGAATGAATAGTTTTTCCACTGCACATATCTGTAAGTATATGCAGGTCAGTGGTGTTGAGCTAATATTTTTTTTGTCGGAATGCTAAAATAAAAAACCGGTTCAAAAACCGGTTCTCATTTTTATTCCGGTTCCATTCGAAAATGTAAGAAACAAAAATCATTACAAAACCCATTTTGTGCACATATATGTATGTTTATTACAATAATAGGAACGTTTAATAAAAATGAATTACATTATAATTTATAAAATTCACTTATTAAATTACTTTCTCTATATCTTTTTTATTTTTTTGCCTGAACGCGTTCCGGTCCATAAATGATTTGCCAGAGTTCTGCGCGTTCCGGCCCGCCAACACCACTGATGCAGGTATATATTATAATTAAATTTAGTAAATTCTAACTTTAATTTATCAAATCAGGAATGATTGGGTTTCTTTGATTTACTGGTGCATAGCAATTGCCTAGAGTCTAGACATAGACTATATAGCAGCGATCGGGAAACCTTTTTAATCATTAACCCAAATTATTTTTGTCCAAATTGATTTTACCCGCATGGCGAAGGGAGATTACCCCTATACGAATTTCAATTAAAAATATATACTTTTTAGACAGAAAAATTTTATTTTTACCCTATTTGAATAATTTATTCCTGTTCCACAACCACTGCTCTAGATAGTCAGAGGCATTTGTCACTGACTGTTATTGAATTTAACTTGTTACACAATATTTTTTCACACAATTATTGATAAAATAATTTTCCTTTTTATTAAAAGTTTCGCGTGATAGCAACAAATAAATCGTTATCAATATTTAAACAATCGAATGAAATTCAAAATAAATTTTACAGATTTTCTTTATTAATTTTATAATAAACATATCAACATGAACATGGGCATGAGTAATGAATGATATACAGACCTTTTTTAAAAAATGAACAGAGGAAGTGTTAAGAAAGTAACATATTGGAATTTTGTGTTTGGAATTTTATATTTGTTTGTCACTTAATTTAAATTTGAATTAAAAATTTCCATTATTATTATGCATGTTTTGTAAGCTAGAATATTAAGTGCAGGTGTCGCAGTTTACTTCTCCCTTATTGTTTTTATATGCGTGCATTTATGGTTAACAAGATTTTTTTTTTTAGATTTTTATCATGCTTTGAAAATTAGGCAGCCATTCGTTAGTTTAAAAATTCAGGAGAAGATGTATTAGTAAGGCAATTATTAGTATACAGTTTTTCATTTTTTGCAGGATTAGTAGATTGTTAGTAAAATTAAAATTAAATTACTACTATTAAATGTACTTTTTTGCTCACCATAAATATATAACATAGAATTATAAAAATTGTGTTATAGGGTTAATAAACTATGAACAATAAAAATGTGTTTCAACATGATTGTAGATGACAGAAGTGAACATGTTCACATAACTGAACAATTTATTTATTTAATAATAACTGTATTCAAGAAGTTAACTGTATATGGACTTTATTATAAATAAATTTATTGTTGAAATATTGACATAAAAATAATGTTTTGTCGGTGGTGTTTTCGTCTTAGTTTAGATGAAAAATTATGTGCACAGTTTCGATTACGACCTTCTCATTATACATATATCAATAGTCAATCAGAAATAAATTAATTCTTTCAGACTATATGCTGGATGATTACATCTTTCTAAATCGTTTAATTAAATTGACGACTATTGTTATTAATAAGTTATACGTTCATTCTTGATTTATTCTTTTCTTTCTAATTCTTAATAATTTAAACATCATACAAACATAATTTTGGTCAAACACAACGCAAAGCATGGATAAATTATTTTAAAAAAAAAACGACACACTAAAATGCGCAAAACATCTTATTGGTTTTCAATTAATAGTCGTTGCTAATATTAAAGTTTACTCCTGGATTGATGAGTTAAATTAATTTCTTTCAAGAAAACAATGTAACAATTAATAACAATTACAAAACCTAACGAATAACTTTTTCAATGATGATCTTGCTTATATTGAAATTTCAGCAGGTTAATACTCGTAGAATAAAGTATGATTACCAATATTTATCATTTCGTAATTAATTAAATATTTTTATGAATTTATTTTCATTTTTTTCATATATAAAGAAAGAGTCTCACACTCGTAAAATAAAATTAAAAAATAATGGAGAATGTAAGTTTACCATCAGGTAATTTAAATCGGGTCGCACGTAACTAGTGCAATAGTAGTATGTGTGAATCATATTCGGCTCAATTTTCATCAACTGCTTCAGCATCTTGTCCGGCGATTGCAGTAGCTGAAGGCGAAGACAATGCTAGGCCGCCCTTCCCCGTGAGAGCCGATGCGACTGGAGCAGCCGAAGCGACTCCGCCTGGACCGGCTACAGCAATTGCCATTGGTTTCGCTTGTGACACGCTTGGATCGTCAGCTGCAGGTAAATCGTCTATAAATAAAAAGTAGGAAACTCTAGTGAATAAGTACACTTACTAGTAGCACGATTTTCAACAATTATTCATTATTTTGGATATCATGTGATTAACACGACAAGCAAAGATCCAATATTTATATAGTTTATGTTATGAAAGAAATAATTTCATCGTACATACCAGAATTTAATTGCTCTTGTTTTACATCTGGAAGGTCAGTTTCGTCACTGAAGCGCTTCTGTATTTCAGCTGGATGGTCTACTGGCCTACGCCTTTGCACAAGATATCGAGCAAACTCACCTGCAGCAGCGCCGGGAACATCAGCACTCACCAAAGGCTGCTGCAATTGCTCTGGTTTCGGTTGTTCTGGTTGCAATTGATTTTCTGGTTCTCCAGAAAAAGCTTGAAGTCGCACAGAAACGTCCTGTTGAGGCTCAAATTGTGTACCTATACCCTGAGCCAATAATAAACGTATTACATCTAAATTTATATCGCATTTTTAAGTTTGTATCTTTTAAATAATAGCAATATTATATTTGACTACCGAATCCCAGTGATAAAATTTATTTTAATAAAAACTTGTCATGCGCCAAAATTTGAACATGTCACACCTCTGAAATTGTATTATATACATCAGCTTGAAATACAGAATATAAGTAAAGATAAAATAGAACGAAATTAATATTGACGGTTGATAATAAACTTTACCAAAATCTAATAAGATCAAACCTTTAAACGATTCTGATTATGACATCAACTGAAAAACTTACTTGTATAGCTTGAACGGGTTCACCGCCTGGTTCTTGATAAACTTGTTCTTGTTGATGTTGAAATGGAGCAGCTCTCTGCTGATCATATTCATTGCTGACTAGTTCATTTGGAACGCCAACTTGCTACAAAAAATATTATTCTTATTTGTAGTATAATATAATATTGCGCGATAAACTAACCAGGCAGATGCCAAAATAATTATCTAATCAAAATTTATGAAAAATAATTAAAAAACTATTTTTGAAATATGTTGAGGGTCATATGTTAAAAGCATATATTAATAAGCATGACAAACAAATTTATTTAATGTTTTTAATGTATTTATTTCAATTTTAAATACAATATTATAATAAGTAATAAAAAGAATATGGTAATTTATTAAATATATGCATTCGACAAAATGTATAACAATATAAATGATTAATGGCCTCTTCTGATTTTCAAGCTTATAGATTTTGGTATACAATCTGGTAAATAGATAGTTTTTTCAGAATCATTTTCTGCCTTAATGTCAATTTTTGTAATAAGCCTTTGAGACTGATCCATCTTAATATGAGACGCGTCCGTCGAATTTTGTTCAACCTTCGAATTATTATTCATATTATTCATATTAATTATAAATATTCATTCCAAAAATGTGTGCATGACTTATAAGCATGGCCATACAAATGCAATATGTCATACTATCAAAATTAAAAAACGCATAAAATGTCAGTATATTTATTAATGTGGTATTATTTCATTACTGGTATCATAATATAAAACACAACTAGTTGAGAAGATGAAGCATTTGTCCATTTTACACAAATTTCGATTTTTAATTTAGATTTAATTTTTTTATTCATGTTAAGGAGCACAATTTGAAAAACTCTCAGTTATTCAGTACTTTATCGCAAGATTTTTGCAACTAAAAGTAAACATTAAACGGAAATAGAAGGTTTTATTAACTACTGCTCTGTTTACTAACACGACTCACCTGAAACCGACCTTGAATTTGGATCGGCTGTTCGGAGCCTTGTTGTTGCGCTTGTTGTTCAGGCTGTTGGAGCTGCTGCATTCGCGATACCACCGGTCTTATAGGTTGCAAGGGTTGAAGACTGAACAAAGGTTGATGAGGATTCGTTGCAAATTCATAACTTCCAAAAAACTGTGGTTGGCCGCTCAATATGTAGAAACGTTGTTCTGGCAACTGACCGCCACTTTGAGATTGTTCTGGAGATATTTGCGCTGGTTGTTCCTGAGAAGGTTGATTCTGGTGCAGTTCCTGCTGTTTTTGCAAGGGTTGTTGAAAACGTTGCTGGGGTTGTTGCGCATCGTGAATCTCGGTAACTCTTAATTCGTTTGTTTCAAGAGATGGTTCGATAGTAGATTGAGCTGGAAGTAATTAATTAATTTTGTTGATTAATATTAACAAAAAATTTCTTTAAGCTTTAATAACTCGAATTATAAGGTTTTAATCAATTAGAAAAATGAATTATTCGTATATTATGATATATATGTGCCTCACACATAGTTTACATTTATCATATTTGCCGCTTTCACGGATATGTGGATAAAATAAATATCGAAAACTAAATATATTTATTCATATCAAGTTTAAATTAAAAAAAGTATTTTGATTACATAAAAATTGTATGAAAATTATTGAGATACAAAATATATAATACTTTGATCTTCATTCAAAGTATTTACATTGAATTTTAGTATATAGGGGATGTACAGACAAAATGACATGGTGCTTTATTTTTTAATGAAATTATAACCAGTCCCAATCGTTTTTACTCATTTTTGGTTCATTGACTACCAGTATGATAGTATTTTATTTGTGTAGGAAGTATAATAACATTTATTAAGAAAAAATGCAACCTATTTAAAACACCATTTTGTCCATATAATACATGCAAAATGATATATAGAGTAAGGACATACTGAGATGCTAATTTTTAAGAAAACAGTTAACAAATAAATCGTTTCATCTTCTTTGGGACATTAGCACATGAAGCATGCATCTGAGAGATACAAATCATACATCTTAACCAATCTTCGCCGAGCTCAGAATGGAAAAAGTGGTTTTTGCAACAAATGCAATTTCCTTCTTTTTGTCGGTGGATCTTTTGGTCTGTATTTTTATTCCTTGCATACTTGGAGTAGATGTTAAAAGTTAATCAAGTTTAATAGGTTTTATTTTTTTTCTTAGTCATGTAAAATGCTTTCGAAATGGTACTATGCCATTTTGTCCATTGTACAAGTATGTCATTTTATCAGAAATTGAACAAAAATGAATAATAAATCAAAATTCCAGCAAACACCTGATTGTTGCAATAAAACTAATCTAAATCACTAGTAAGGGAGACTAGTAGTACGGTTGTGCCACGGTTGAACGAAAAAACTTTTAAATTTTTAAATAAGGCCACAGTGCCATTTAGTCCATATATACCATTTTGTCTGTATTTCCCCTACATCAGAACAAAAATATCAATTCACCTTCCATATATATATATATATATATATATATATATATATATATATATATAAAAGAAATAGTCAAAGAAATTATCCGCAAAGACATATCATTATACATTAAATAGACAGTTTTGTACAAATAAAGCATCCGTTTCCAAAAAACAAAATTATATTGAATAAAAGTATAAAAAACAAAAACCTTTGCTCGATACCAAATAGCAATATTTAGTTCATATTGTGAAAATAAGTATATATGAATATTATACACGAAAATGTTTTATGCACAACTTTGAAAAACATATGGAAAAATACCTGGAGGTTTTTGCGTTGTGGTCGGCCTTCTGAAAGGGTTGTTGGAAGTCAGCCAAGAAGCGGCTTGCTGAATAAGTCCCCCTTGGCCTTTTTAATAGAATATTAAATACGTGATGGTTTAGCATTAAAGTATGTTAAGCTTCCAAAATTTTCAAAGTTAGTAACAATTAATGTAATAAAGGAAAGATGCAATGAAACCGTTATTTATAATTATATATTATTAAGAAATGCAACTTACCTATTGGAGCAGGTGTTGTACCATCGTTTGTTGGGTTCTGTTGTTGAACCGCTGGGTTGTTAAATGGATTTAGGCCACTGAATAAGTTTACAATTTGCTCTAAATATCCGGGCGCACCTTGTTTCAAACCTGTAATTGTAACAACCAAAATTGAAATCAAGACAATCGAATGCGATGTGATCAATCTATTTAGTTACTATCCCAGCAATAATGGAAAAAATAGAAAAGAATATTGCATTCTGAAGAAGAAAAAATAATAAGTCTGAAGTTATATACAGTAAGAATTCAAACAATTATGCAAATGTAAAAATCCAATATTAGTAAAATTAGTATAAGATATATAAAGAAATGTCACCTGGAGTATAAAGAATAAAATGTTGTCCCTCTTGTGGAACCCCACTAAAACTTACAGCTGATTGTGGTTGAATGATAGCTTGATCTTTTAGTTGGTCTGGGTGCAAATAGAGGTAGGATTCTCCTCCTGCTTCTTGCACACTTTGCGTAAACAAAACGTTAAATTAGAATAAATAAATAATACGTTAAATATATGAGTATCACTTATTTCAAAATATTATTTATTTCAAAATAAACATTCGAATTATTTAAATTATCACTTTGAAATACTTATTATAATTATTAATTGTAATTTTAAATTGCATTAAATATTGAGCAACAATATTTTAAAATCCAATAATACTTATTGAATACAAATAATAATTTTTCGTTGGTTGAATTTGGATAAATCAAATCATTATTGGATTTGTGAAAATACCTTCAACAGACCAATAGTTTTTCACTAAAAGTAGGTCTAATCGGTTTAGAAATACGACAAAAAACACAAAAAAATGAACTAGTAATTTTAAGGGCTCGCCTGTAGGTAAGCGGTTAGGAGCGACGGGACTTGTTTCAGAGGTCCCGGGTTCGATACCCACTTCGAGCAGCCTGTTGTCAGAAAACAGCGACAACGATTTTCACTTGGAAAAATAAATAGCAATATGTTTCCAAGTGAAAATAGCCCTCACCCGGCATTGTTGCACCATACTTGCCCTATTACACAGATTGTAATAAAAATTTATCATACAGAGATGTGACAACTGTTTGGGTTGCCATCTGTAATAAAACAAACGTAGTTTGTAAGATATTAATCACAACAGCTCATAGAACCCATAAGTTCTGATCGCTGTTCAAATAAAATAAAAAAAGTAATTTTAAAATTTGACAATTTTCGTGACATTCGACCATTTCTAATTATTTTGAGAAGTGTCGGAATTGAAGGTTACTAAATACTTATAATGATAAACAATACTAGTTTCTATTTAAATTATAAAGTAAATGTAATCAATTGATAAACTACAATATCAAAGTTGTCGATTGATTTTATATATCGACATCGGCAGGTGTGAGCTTACCTGTCCAAGCTGGTTATTGGTATCAGCGGCTCGGCGAATCCGACTGATTGAAGGCTCGCTCTTGGATTAAAGAAGATGAACTGTCTAGCGTTTTCTTCGCGACTCCTAGGCTGCCCGGGCGGCTGCGGCTGCGGAGCGGCGAGCGAGCACGCCGCGAACGACAAAAGCAAACCGGTCACACTCAAGGCTGCACGTACTTGTTTCTGAAACATTTGTCAGGAGATGATAATATAACGCCACAGTCGAATGTGCCCCGTCAGGCGGATTCGACTATTACGAAGCTTCTCAAAATGGTCTCAACACAAACCGGCAACGAGTAACTTAAAATTAATAATAATAAGTAATAATAAATATACATTAGGTACTTGATTATATTTACTTTAATTAAATTTTAAATTTAATTATATGAAGTATATTTACAATCGTACTAAAAGATTCTAGTTTTCTAAAAAATAATTAAAAAAATCATGCATTTGAGTAGAAGTAGACATAACAGAGCAAGAATTAATAGTTATTATTAAAAATCCATTCTAAAAACAAATATATTTCAAGGCTTCAATTGCAAGTGCATTGGTTTAAAAAAATAATAAACGGTCAGGTCATAAAGTATAATTATGATTATCCGAAGCTGTATAAAACTTATTGTTGTCTGTCTGTCCAAATATTTTTTTCTTTTAAAAAAGTAAGTTAAAATGTCATACATTGATATTAAAATATTTAAATATAAGTATTAAAATAAATTGTAAAAAATAAATACGGTTATTATTTACCAATTACACTTTCCCAATTTTTTATTGAAATATATTGTTTATCAATATATATTTCCCATATTGTAAAAAATCTAATAATTTAATTTATGTAGAATACGTATATGTTCACAAAAGCTTACCAGTCTAACTTTTTTTTTAAATTACAATATGTGTTACAACTGCTAAATAATATAACATCTAGTAACATAAGTGAATAATAACAAATACAAATATAATATAGTACGAAATAAATAATAGTATTTTTATTAAAATGATATTCGTATTGTGATGATTTAATATAAAATAAAAGCAAATAATGATAATAATAAAATTAATAAATAAAATAAATAAAATTTGTGTAAAAATGATTAAAATAATACTAGAAAAACAATAAAAACAATAAGTGACAAATAATTGCTAAAAATTGAAACTAAATTTTTCCCAACCTAATAGGCATTGAAGTGATTTTATCTGATATAGTTATTATATCTATAATTCAATTGACAATGAAGTGATTTTATCTGATATAGTTATTATATCTATAATTCAATTATATTAAGAATTAATCTTTTAAACATTTGCAATTTTTTTACTACATTCAAACTTCAAATTTATAAAGTTGACGCTCTTATTTAAAAAATTCTAGTTTTCTAAAAAATAATTAAATAAATAATACATTTGATTACAAGTAGACGTAACAGAGCAAGAATAAATAGTTATTATTAAAAATCCATTCTAAAAACAAACATATTTCAAGGCTTCAATTGCAAGTGCATTGGTTTCAAAAAATTATAGACGGTCGTAAAGTATGATTATGATTATTCCAAGCTTTATGTATTTTTAAATTATGGTAACAAGTAAGCTAAATTATCACCATCTGCTTCTTCCATTTGAGTCCATTAAAACTGCGCGTTCTTGTATTTGTAGGAAAGTTATATGCGTGATGTAGATTATAAAAATATTAAACTAAAATATTATTATTAGAAATATATTGCCTGCGATTAAAATTTGAGTGGGTGATACTAGTAACAACATACGAGTGAATTTACACGTTAACTTATTATAAAAGTAAGATTCTTGGATGGTTATACTTTTAGCCAAAATTAAATCAATTGATATTTATGTACGTAAATTACTCTATTTAAGTTTCAAATAAATCAATACAAATAAATTTGTATTAAATTAATTATATATCAAAAAATTTAATCATATAATGCATCTAAACAAATACTAATTATTGGATCGACAATATTATTCACAAAAATTGTATTATAAACCAAATTACTTTTTATCACTACATTTTACAATAATTTTGACACATTAAATATTTATACATTAATATTTAAGCACCAGATTTAATCAAATGTTATCACGCAATAAAAATTTACACGACCCTTAGACAGAAATTTGTTTTCGTTTTTTTAACACAAGTTTTAAATTTGTGTTATAATTATAACAAAATAAATATGTTTATGAATGGCAATTTTAATCATAAATATTTTTATCAATGTTATAAAAATATTTTATAGGTACTTATTTTTGTCGTTTTTAATTACTGTATAAGTAATAAATATTGCATGTGTTGTATAAATTTTTAACTATTACCCTTATAACAAACGTGCTTTAATTTCAGTAGTAAAAAAATAGCCCAAAAATTTATATATGGGTATAAATTTCAGTTAATGGCAATATATTGTAATCATTTAGTAAAATTTATTCCCCGACCAAAGCCTGCCTCGGAATAAACTGTTGATTAATTAAGCCTTAATTGAACGGAACTGTGGAAATAGCATATAATTACCATGATGGCGTTGTGTGCTGCCTGCGACACCCACTAAACGTTAATACAATTAGTTTTATATGCACACGATTGTCTGTTCTCTTGTCGTACACAAAACAACAACAGTAATCCGTTGTCGGAGGCGAGCCCTTTATAACAAGACCGGGATCACCCCCTCCGCTTAGGGGCGCCGACCGTCGCTCCATAGTAAACCCGTGGACTCGCACAACGCGGTTCTCCTTGTTCTTGCACCTACCCGTGGAATCATCTTCTCGTTTCTTCGTTTCTTCGTTTCTTAGTCTCTTCGACATCGCCATCGTCCGACTTTTATCAATTGATCGCTCATTATACGTTTGATTTACGTAAACGAGTACTTACTATCACACGAGGCGCGGGAGCGGTTGTCTCTAGAAAAAATAAGATTATGACTATATTTAGGAACTAGTGGGGCGCATGGCATCTAGCCTTAAGGCAAACTGCTGGAACTTCCCGTACCAAATATTATTATTTTTTTAAAAACGATTAACATTTTTGAAAAAAAATTACTTCGAAAAAATTAGATTTTTGAGAAACTAGGAATTTGACAAAAAAAATCTTTTTTTGAAAAAAAATGTTTTCTTTATTTTGACATATTTTGGAAATTCTGAACTTTTTTCAAAGCAATCGTACCGCTTTAACTGCATAGAGACAAAATGTCAAAGCGCCGCGTCGCCGTCTAACGAATATTATTGGTACGAAACCCATAGGAATGCAAACAAAATTTATACTTATTGTTAAAATCTCTATAAAATATCTGATAATTTGATGTGCATATGTCTAATGATCTTTTTTGACCGCCAAATGGCATTTTTTTTTTACTTTTTTTATTAGATCTCCGAAACCGCTACACCTGCTTTTATGAAAATTTAAGCAGTTCTTCATATTGTCAATACAAGTAAAATGTTTTTTGAATGATTAAAATCGGACGCTGCGTTCTCTTAAAAACTGAGTTAATGTTTTTGGCACTTTTTGCCCCGTATCTTCGGAACGGCTAGACCCGCCTTCGCCAAAAACTAATCAGTATGTCTCCTTATCAATATGAATCGAATGTTTTCTTTAATTATTTAAATCGGTTGATAGGTCTTCCCGAAATCGTCGACGAAAATTTGTATCCGCACATACAAACACACACGCACGCACACACACACATACATCCATTTTTTCTAAGGTATGCCAAATTGTTTAGAAGGTTTTGAAACGTACAGATATATAAAAAATTTCATTTTCGATTTTTTTGCGATCACTATAAATTGCCCTACGGGAAGTTAAAAATAGATTAGAAATACAATAGAGGAGTCTGGTACGGTTGCGCTACTTTTTTGATGAGGCATAAATTTATTAATTTAATCTTAGTCAACTGAAAGAAAAGTAAATTATATGGTAATTTAAACATTTATCTACGTGGAAATACTAAAATAATGTACTTAAATACAATGTATTAGTCATAAAATAAATCATACCGATGGACGGTTGTGACAACAATTGGGGTAAGTAGTGACAGGCATAAAAATAGGTTAAAAACAATAAGTATAAACACCAAAATGGTTTATGTTTATAACGTTTTATTGTAACACAACATATTATTATATATTATTTAGAAATTTATATATTATTTATTATACATAAACATTTAAACAAATCTTATTAATAAGATATAACAATATATAACAAAACAAAATTTTGTAAAAAAAGTTAACAAGAATTATTTGTGAAATCTTTTTCTTCTTATATTGAATTGTCTTTTTTCTTTCTCTTACGTATTTTATCTTAGTTGAATAAGATTTTGTTATCTGTTTAATCTTCACCCGAAACGGACAAGAAATACATGTCTCAACCGTACCCCAAAATTTGTCACAACCGTACCCAACGCACACTTTTGACAACAAATCATCATTATGACAGAACTAAGCAAAATTTATTGCTGATATGAACTACTAATGCTCAGCTAACAGTAAAATAACAAACAAAGTGATATATCTGTATTCAATTAACAGTTATGATTAAAAAAAAATCGAAAAATCGGTCTACAGTAGACCGCATTGCTTTTAAAGAGTCAAAAGTAAGTTTTCATGTTCGATTTTTAGACTGTAAACCGTCTACAGATCATGTTAATGTAAGGCACTGACTGTAAGCAATTGTGGGTACTTGTTCGAACAATCATACTTCATTTTTCTCCCTTTGAACTCTATTTCAAAATCAGTACAGTTTTATACAGTTTAGCTATTATGATGACTGACACTACCGTACCCTGGCACAACCATATCCAGTCTCCCTTACATACATTAAATAGGTGAGTTTTATTTATCAATAAAAAATCCATTTATTTCTTATCCGTGTTCCATATGACAGTTTTAAATTATAATTTTTATATATAACATTGAACTTATGTTCAATATTTTTTTAGAATCGAGTGTAATATAAAACTATTGGTATATAGGATTGTGCTTTAAGGTAAATTGCTGGAAATTACCTTACCTTAATTTGAAATTTTTATAAATTTTAATATTTTTTGAAAATTTTTTTGAGAATTCTACAATTTTTTGAAAATTCGTTTTTTTTTCAATATATCTATAAGAATGTCTATAGACGACATTCACTTGACGAGATGTGTTTACAAATGTCGCCTATAGACGGC